TAAAAAGTTTTGAACTAAAATAAAATTTACATTTATTAATTTAGCAACAGGAAGTCAATATAATGCCTATCGAGAGTATCAAGCAGGTGATTTCAGTTTTTTTTTTTTTTTTTTTGCGGGGGTAAGCATAGGTTGGAAATCATGGTGGTGCTTCTATTGGCGAAATAACTACTGCATGTATCAATTAAGATAAACAATCCATAAATTTATAACATATCTAGTACTATAATAACGCGATTATTTATAGGCCTTTGTTTTTATGAGTTCCAAATTTAACACGGTGAAGCATGTTCGTGAAACAACGAGTACAAACCACGATGCACTTTCTTTTCGATATTATAAGGTCGTGAATCAAGTTGATATTGTACCTACATTATCATATTTATTTGGTATTCCGATACCAAAAAACAATTTAGGCAAAATAATGCTTGATTTACTTGTAGACACTAACGGTGAGTGTTATGATTGCCTAAATCATACGAAATAAAAGAAATAAAGCTGACAAATTTTATAATTATAATATTTATAGAATTTGAAAAACTGCGAGCATTGCAATTAAATGCCCATCAATTGTCTGGTATACTACAAAATACTTGGATTTCTTTTGATCGTGACCCTGACGTGACTTTACAGAGCGAAAAAAATTGTGATCAAAATGCTGATGATGTTAAGACAAGATTACAATGTTTATATTGGTTGTCATATTATTATCACGCGATGGCACTTAATAATATTGATGAAAATTATGTTAACAATGCGTCTTTTTTTTATGACAAGGTGTGTTTAAAACTAGACTATGAGCTTGAATTACATCTTGATAAAAATCATCTAATATATATATTTACTTTAGTTTATTTCAGAGTCAGGCTCCTATATTTCTTCTAGTTTTAGCGATTATGACATTGGTTCAATGTATTGGGGGCTGTTATTCATGGGCTTTGCTACTGTATGCTTCATTATAATATTGGTAAACCAAAATGCTCGAAGACGAAAACAATTCAGAAATTGGGAGAACTATCATAGGCTTCAATTTCTTTCTTATTTGGGCGCATTTGGTTTATGTATTACTATGTTTTCCAGTAGTTATGTGGAAGAAGAACACCAGTTTTGGTATTTTTGGATACAAACGATGTGGTTGGGGTTTATTATCTATAGGTACGTTTCGCACTTTATCTTACTTTGAATAGTTTGGAGTAAATTAATAATAATTCTACAATACATAAATAATGTTTCAGTTTTAGATCAAGTAATTATGTGAATGACCAGAGACTTGCATTATTGTCAGCTGGTCAGATGATACTTGTTCGCATTATTCGTATTTGGAATCAAACAGGTCCGTGTCGTCAAAAACGCATTAACCAATCTCGACTTTTGTTCATCTACATTCGTGTCTTTTATACTTTGATCTAGGTCAGAAATACGCTGGTGAACTTGATCTACGGTTTTACCTTAATACATTACATGTATATTTTATGTGGATATTATTTTTCTGTTCAATGTTGATATTAACCATTATGACACTACGGGAAATTCTGGTTACTAGATTAATTCAGGGAAAAAATATTCTTCAAATAGTTTTGCAACTAATCATGATCTTGATTATATTATTCACAACCCTTTCAATAGCTAAATACAAATTAGAAATTGATGGTGGATCAGTTTTATTTCCTAACATTTTTTCATGGATAACAGTGATTGTTCCAATAACCTTACCAGTTATGTTGGCACGAGTGATATACACCGCAATCGGAATAACACTAATTTTGATTTCCTTACTACCCATATTACAGAATAAACTTCGTGACATTCAAGGTGTGCTGAACTTTTTTCACAATCACATCTATTCATTAACATAATTGCTAATATTAACAACTATTAAATAATAGCTCCAAAAATAACTTTATTTCCAAGACTTTCACTATACATCATTACATATTTACTAATGCTTTTATCACGTCCTCACAATTTTTCCTTATACTTGTTCTTCTTCGTTCAATATCACTTATTATCACAATGGATTCATATTTCAATCTCGTATGGAATTGAAATATCACCAATAACACTCAATTTTATTCTAATATGCTTAAAATTTGTGTCATTTTTCGCATTTGGAAATTCCAATAGTTTAGCAACCACAGATATAAGCAATTCATATATAGGCATAACTGTATATGATCCATTGTGGGTTGGGACGTTGACATTTTTAGCAAACTGGACGGGTCCCATTTGGTGGGTGTTTGCTGGGAATTTGTTGAGATTTGAAATTGTTGAAAGGAGAGTTTTTATAAATCAATCCGAAAAAAATAAAAATCAGAATGAGAAAGATGTTGGTGAAGGAAGCAGCAAAAATGCGATTAGCAATTCTAAGTCAGAAACCTTACAAACTGACAATACTAGATCCAATACACCATCGGCAATATCTGCATCTACAATCGCCATCAAACAAGAACTCAAACGACATCAATATCATACCTCACTATTTCAAATAACTACATTTTATTCATTAATATTACTTATAATATCTATTGCTGTTACAATATTGAAAAATCATTTATTCATATGGACAGTGTTTTCTCCAAAGTATTTATATCAAATTATATGGTATACTCTGTTTTTAGTAGGAGTAGAGATTGTAGTAGGTGGAGTGATGTGGAGTATGGGATTGAATGTTCTAACGAGAGAATGAAATTAATGAAGTTGAACGTGAAAACGAAGGGTATTTGAGTAGATTAGGGAAAATCTAAACATTTTTTGTTAACTGAACTACAGTGTAATTACCATAATAGTCTTACATTCTGAATTAGCCATCTCTGGGTCTAAGATATACATTATGTATATAAATAGACACAAAAAGATATGTAATGTGTTTAGTAATGCATATTCATATGCTTATTGCAGTATATCATAATTAAAGTTCTTATAATAGTAAATGGTTTTTGAGCCAATTTTATTTTCAGTTGGGATCTCATCTTTAATTTCTAAGTACTAATAAATGATTAAACGTTTATATTATCATTATAATTTTGACAAGGTTTTATCCGATTAATAAATTAACCCGAATTGTGAAATAAGGTCCAATGTTAAAAGAATAAACTGATAGCAACCATTCGACATACCCTAAGAGGCTCTTCTATATATATTAACGATTGTCTTTTGCTCATAGAGCTCTCACTTCCATATTTGTCGCGTAACAACAATCGTTAAATAAATCCGTAGAAACGCATTAAATTTTTTTTGAAATTTTCAACAAGGTAACTTTACCAGAATATAACCAAATCTAATTTATTTATATATGCATATATTATGAATTTACAGAATTTATTTACTATTAATTTGGTATATTTTTATTGAACTATCTTGCTCAAAGTTCAAAAAAGATTTTAATAAAAAACAATTTGTTATACCTTTTATTGATTCCTAAATATTTGAATATTAATAATCGTGTTTAAAATTTATGGCATTAGATATGTTTCTCGCGCAAGATATATGATCTCGAACAAGATAAAAATTGTAATCCAGAATATCAAAAGTTACAACAATGGAGATAAAGCTTTTTATACATCATAATTAGTAATCTTTTGTACTGTTCCATCTTCAAATATTTATATTAAATCACAGAGACAAAATTTAGTTTCTTCTCAAATGACGAATAATGAATATTAATAAAATAAAAATTCAACATGCACAAATTTATATACTTTAAATCGAAAGAATTGAAAAATCGATTTGAACAATCGATTTGAACTATGACTCAATAAATAAGAATTAAACTTATTAAACTTTAAATAGATTTGTAAAATTAATTTTTAAATGTATGTCTAACATTGATTTTAATAAAATTATTTATCTTTTGAATATTGTTCTGTTTCGGTGACATTATAAGTAATAGAATCGAAAAGTCAAATATATATAGTCTATTTATATAAGTATTTCTTGCCCGCTCATAATATATAAATATATGTAACTATGCATGGGTAATCTAAGTAAGAGATTATTTTTACCAGCCTAAATCGTAAACACTTTATATAGTATGTTGAAAGAAATTTAAATTATTGAAATATTTTAGAATGTCAAAAATGTTTAGGGTGGCGAGGATATTTTATGACAAATTTTATAATTCCCTATAAACCGATATCAAAGATTCTTAGAGAAACCATACTTGCAGTGATGTAATTAAAAGCACGTATACGACTAGTCGTTTTGGTACTATATATATTTCTTTAGGTGTTATTAATACGCCACAATTGATAGATATCGATTTGCTAAAATCAAGTCAAGAATTGACTGTACTTTGCACAGTGTATAGTATTTAATATGTAATATATCAATACTTTTTTTAATAATAATTTTGGCAGTCTAAATAGTTTTGACAGTATGTAATAATCGACGGCTATAATAATATCGACAACCTCGGCGGGCCAAAAAAATTTCGCCACCAACCATTTTGAAACATCATGGCGAAATATTAAAAACATTCCTCCATCGTAAATATCTGTAATTAGACACTCATGTGTACGTAAGGAATGAATTATCTTTATTAGAAAAATCTATATCATTTTGCGCGTTGCATATCTCCGTACCATTGTAATCAGTTCTAACCCTAATATTTTTTTTAGTAACAAACACTCCAAATTACACTAAATCGTATACTTACTTTGGAGTATTCTATTAACAATTCTAACCGTATAGCAACATGATGCGTTCAAATATTTATAAAATTGATGCGTAGAAAAAATCTTATTTCAAAGGTATTTTATACTTTTTTAGAAAAAACGTAAGTACGTGCGTACTTGCTTACATACTGTACGATCATCAAGTCAATATTTTTGGCATTTGTGTATACATTCAGAGTTTGTAAAGTTGTAATCTGCAAATCCTTTAAATATCGCACGTACATCAGTTTAACAAGTTTACATCATCATATCTTCAATGGATATTACCTTTGAAAGTGTTAGGCAATGGAAAAGTGATCAAGTTTCTAATTGGTTGCAAGAAAATAATTTTAGGGAATTTCAAAAACTTTTTACCGGTATTAATTTTTAATTCAAAATATTAATTTATGAACAAGAATTTGACATTAAATTTAATGTTT